CTCCTCCGCTCCTCCGCTCCGCTCCTCTGCTCCTCCGCTCCTCCACCTCCGCCTTCGCTCCTCCGCCTCCGCGCATTGCCTCCCCCCGCCTCCGCCCGCCTCCGCCCGCTCCCGCTCCTCTGACTTTCGCCCGCCCGGACTTCGGCCGCGCTCCTTCGCCTCCGCCTCCGCGCCTCTACCTCCGCTCCTCCGGCTCCGCCCGCCTCGCCCACCACCGCCCACCACCGCCCACCTCCGCTCTGCCCGCTCCTCCACTCCTCCGCCTCCGCCTCGGCTCCTCCGCCGCCACCCATTGCCTCCGGCCGCCTCGCCCGCCTTGCCCACCTCCGCCCGCCTCCGCTCCTCTGCTCCCGCTCCTCCACCTCCGCTCCTCAGCTCCTCCGCTCCTCCGCTCGTCCGCCTCCGCTCGTCCGCCTCCGCTCGTCCGCCTCCGCTCGTCCGCCTCCGCTCGTCCGCCTCCGCTCCTCCGCCTCCACTCCTCTGCCCATCTCCGCCCATCGCCTCCGCCCGCCTCTGCCCATTGCCTCCGCCCGTCTTCGCCCATCGCCTCCGCCCATTGCCTCCGCCCGCCTCCGCTCCTCCGCTCCTCCGCTCCTCCGCCGACTCTCCGCCCGCCCCCGCTCCGCTGACCTCCGCCCGCCCCCGCTCCGCTGACCTCCGCCGACCTCCGCCTTCGCTCCTCCGCCTCCGCCTCCGCCTCCGCCTCCGCCTCCATCTCTGCCTCCGCCTCCACCTCCGCTCCTCCGCTTCTCCGCCCACCCACCTCCGCTCCGCCCACCCACATCCGCTCCGCCCACCCACATCCGCTCCTCCGCTCCTCTGCCCACCCACCTCCGCTCCTCCGCTCCTCTGCCCACCCACCTCCGCTCTGCCCATCCACCTCCGCTCCTCCGCTCCTCCGCTCCTCCGCTCCTTCGCCAAACCCACATCCGCTCCTCCGCTCCTCTGCCCACCCACCTCGGCTCCACCCACCCACCTCCGCTCCTCCGCTCCTCCGCTCCTCCGCTCCTCCGCCCAATGGCCCACCCACCTCCCCTCCGCCCACCCACATCCACTCCTCCGCTCCTCCGACTCTGCTCCTCCGCCGACCCCCTCCGCCCGCCCCCGCTCCGCTGACCTCCGCTGACCTCTGCCGACCTCCGCCGACCTCCGCCGACCTCCACCTCCGCTCCTCCGCCTCTGCCTCCGCCTCCCCTCCTCCGCTCCTCCGCTCCTCCCCCCACCCACCTCGGCGGAGGTCAGCGGAGCGGGGGACCTATGGCGCTGCAGGTAAGTCTCCCTGGCCTCCACCCAATCTCTCTCTCTCCAGTACTAGTCTAGCTCCTACTAGCGCCCAGCGCTGAAGACTACTGCTAACGCTACTAGCGCCCAGCGCTGAAGACTACTGCTAACGCTACTAGCGCCCAGCGCTGAAGACTACTGCTAGCGCTACTACTACTCCTGCAGCGCTCCTCCAGGGTGCTACGGAACTAACTTCAGAACAGGAGTGGTTCTACACGACGAATCTTAAATGCCTCCCCTTGCCACACCCCTCTTAATGCCATGCGACTTCTTTTGCTTTGCGAGCGAAGCCACAACAGGTCATCTTGTGAATTTTTACGACTAGCTGTTGATGTCGGCCGGTCATCATCCAGCGACAAACGGCCAGACGGAGCAGATGAATAAGATCTTGCAGCAATTACTCAAAATGTATATAGACCTGATCAAGTAGGGACGAGATGCTTCCCAAGGTACCTAGCGCTTATAACAACAGTGTACACCTAGCTACATGTCGAACTCCTAACGAGCTGCATAAGTCCTTTAGGCCACGTAGGCCATTTGAAGGACTGAACCGGGACGAGATTCAGAGGTTACCTCCCGATACTAGATAGTTTGCGCTGCAGCACGAAAAGGAGGCCGCCAGGGTGATCAAAAACCTTAGGAAGGCCCAGCAGCGCATGATTGATCAAGTGAACAAGCATCGCAGCCCCTCGCAGTTTGAGGTAGGCGGTCTAGTCTGGGTTAAGTCGAAAGAATTTGCATCAGAGGAAAACATCTCCCACAAGCTCTTGCCCGCGTACAGAGGGCCGTGGCCTGTCCTAGAAGTCAAGGGTGGAGAGGATGGACCACCTTATACAATAGAGATTCCATCACACCTCCACACGTATCTGGTCTTCGATGCATCAAAGTTGTTGCCTTGTGTCACCAATCAGCAGTTCCCATCGCAGGTTTGCTTACCAAGTCAGGTTTGCTTACCAAGTCAGGCCTGCCCTATATGGATGGCACATACGATATAGACCGAATACTAAAAGAAGATGTGTTCAGGACTGGAGGTAAAGTCGTACACAGAAGCAATACAAAGTCAGGTTTGCTTACCAAGAACCCGAGGACGACAGATGGTTCACAAGAATGGAACTTCTAGATACTGCTCCCGACATAGTTCATGCCTACGAAAGAGCAAGAAAAGATAACGGTCCTGCATTGGAATAGAAAGTTCTCGGAGGACCTCAAATTTAAGACGGTGGGAGTGAAAGGGTTTCACCAAGTTTGCAGGACAATTGCGGATGCTAGGTTTCAATCCCTAGCCATATCCTGAATCCCCTGTACAGCTACCCGACGCCCCGGTGTGCCTTGAACCCGTGACCTGTCCCCAAAAACGTATGTCTGTGTGTTGTGTGCTTAGTTGGGTCGTGTGCACTTGAACCGTAGGTCTTAGTTTTAACAGTCCTAAGGTCAGTCCTATAGGTTAGCCCTAAGTGTAGCGAAGGGTCAGTCAACATAGCCTAGGACTTTCTAGAAGTTGCTACTTGGCTCTTCGGAGCTGTAGGAGTCAGTCGTTCATAGCTAAGTCAGCAAGGTACAGTCCAGTCCCAGTCTCAGTCCCAGTCCACCTTGTCCAGTCAGCAAGTACCAGGTGGGGCTGCACACTGCTTGGGCCGGGGACCGGAGGCAGGACAGACCACCGACGAAACAGTATAAATAAAGAGGCAGCGCCAAGCCATTCATTCATGCCTGCGAGCCATGCAGACGCGCTGCTTGTGCGACTTGTGCATCGGAGGTCTGCAGGTGCCTGACGAAGAAGAGGGCGAGCGGCCATAGGCGTTAGTGTGCAGGTGCCCGACGAAGAAAGATGATGGCGGCCATAGCCGCCCAGTTGCTGATGTCAACAGATAGAGTGTAGTGTATGTGTGTGCGTGGACATTCAGGGTAGATCCTATGCGTGTGTGCATGTGCGTGAGTTGCGTGAGAGTGTCTGATGGTGGAGATAGTGTTGCAGGAGGAATTCAGGCTATGGTAGCGCTCGGCGGCCATAGCCGCCAGATGTGACAAGTTGACTAAAGATGGGTTCCTGGCCGAAGGCCGTATTTCTGAGTTTTCTGGGTGCAGCGCGCCATCACAAGCTTGTTGCTGAATCTGCGTTCACAAAGTTGTTTTGCCGTCGGCACCTACATGTATGGATGTTGCAAGTGAAATTGAGACAAGTCTGATTGCATCGAGTGTGAATTATCTGTGAATTAGCTATGAAATAATTGATGATTGGATGTCAGTTGCATACCATATTGCAACGAAGATGAGCAATAGCGAACTTCAGCAATCAAACAGCATCATGCATATGAGTCCAGATAGTCGTGACCTCGAACCAACAGCAGAATTGCATCACGAGATTCACCAAATAAGCACCCACCCTGTCTCTTATACACATCTAGATGTGTATAAGAGACAGACATGTGGCAGATCCTATCTAGCCTATACTACGATGCCGAAAGATGACGTCAACAGCTTTCCCGAAGTACGAGCATATGGCGACCAATGTCGCACACTTCCAGCACCAGGTATGTCTCTCGCCACACTCACAACCTCGTTCCCCAACGCACAGATGCCACTAGCACCCAAGGACCACCCTGCGCCTCACCCAGCTTACAGCAGCGCAGCTCGGCTATGGCTGCGTGCTCCTTCCCTGCTCGCCCGTGAGAGCGTAGGCGCCAGCCAGCAAATAGCGCAGCAGCGCTTGCGCAGCATGCAGCCAGCACCCGAATACCGAATGCGGAGGCAGGCCCTTTGCTATATCGAAGTGGCCTGCCTGCGTCCAGTCCCAGGAAGCTTCCAGTAGGGCCCGGTAGCCTGAGGCCCAGCACAACGAAAACAGGCCTTGGGCCTGAGGTGGTTGCATGTGCCCAACTGCCTTTGGCCTGTGTTTGGCCCAGTACCCGTATCCAGCCCAGGGCCTGCTTCACATACATTCACACAGGYGGCCCAGGGCCTGGGTTCACTCAACCAACTGGCGCTGCGCAACTGCCTGAATTTCCCTGAGTTGCGTGGTGGCCAGAATAGGGCCCTGAGGGCCTCGTCGAGCCTGCCTTCACTTAGGGCGGCCGACGGGCTGCAAAATGGGGCCTTATGGGGCTCATAGAGGCAGTGGCCTTGCAATATTGTGAATTATTTGTGAATTAAATTTGAATCAATTTTCAATTGAACTAATTGTGAACTGAGTGTGAATGAGCTGTGATTAGCTATGAATTAATTTTGAAATTTGAATTGATTGTGTCGACACTTGTAAATCAATTGCTGATTAATCGGGAATTAACTGTCATTTAATTGTTATTAATGTGAGCAGGAGGCTGGCTGTTCGGAGCGGGAAGGGGACAGAGAAGAGAGAGCACGCCGTGTTTTATTGATGGTCCGCAGCGGCAGAGGGGGAAGCCGACTGAAGTTGTAACGTGAGATATGTCGTGAGAGGTTGGACAAGTGCGATTTCTCAGGCTTGCCACGCGACAGGCAGAGAGTGACTTCTGTGACTCGCAAACGACAACAGTATATTTGCGATTCTAGCGACTTGTGACTCGGATCAGGACAACAGTACGACAACAGAGTACATACGACTTGGCAGGCATGCCACGTGGAACAACTGCCACGTGGCAGGCAGATGGTGGCCTGTGACTTGCATTGGATAAGGTAATGCGACTTGCATCTGTGTGATGCGAGTATGTGGAGGTGAGTGTGGGGCTGGTGGTGAGTGACACGTGGTCTGGGATGAATTGAATGAACCGCTTATATGTGGGTGGCTTGATCTGGGGCCCACTGCAAGAGGACACTTGGCAGGGAGAGGGTTGAGGGTTAAGGGGGGAGAAGAAGTGGGGGTGGGAGAGGGGGGGATTGCGATTCCTGGGTAGATGCTCGCTGCCTTTCACACATTTGACAGAAAACTGAGAATAGGAAAATACAGCATACACGTGACAGCAGAATATGAATTGAATGAGTCACTGATAGGTTCTCCATCGATCAATTGGCACTTAAGTGAGCGAGTGATTGGGTTTCCTCTTTTAGGTGCCCTTTTCCGTTTACTTTTCCCGCCTTTGTTTTTTGTCTATTTTTCTGCCGGGAGCTCGTCCCTCCCTCCTTCCGTGGTTATTAAATTCATTAGTTTATATATTAAAATTCAAAAATTAATGATAATAATCAGATCAAAATCGGCGGAGAAAGTTGAAAAGATCAGACATTGCTTGGCAAGCAGCCAGGCAGGAAAGCCCTGAGCGCGCCAAATTGACGAAAAAAAGAAAAAACAAGAAAAGGAAAAAAAAAGACGAAAGGGTACACATGAAGGAGCTCCGAGAACAAGCCGGGTGAAGAGGGCAAAGAGTGGGGGCAATATTCACACACTTTTTCGACTGAATCTGGCTGTAATTGTGGCCGCATGCATCCTTCAAAATCCCCAATTTGGGGATGCCCTCTGATTGGATAGGGGTGGAGAGATTTGCGCAAGTCACATCTCTGGAGGGAACAGAAAAAAAGGAAGGTTGAAAAAAATAATTCAAAAAAAAAGAAGAAAAGGAGGTATAGTGTACATCATTGACTACAGCCACAAGGAGTTGTTGACAGAATCTGAACGGATTTTTCTGCGGAAGTACATTCAGCATAGTCTAACTGTGTGGCTACACCCTAATATATTAATAGGTCCTGGAGACTGAATCTGACTGCATTTGCGTCCAGATACTGTGGCTGCGCTGGGAAACTTTAGGCCGATCCTCTCCTCCTCTGTCCTCTCCTTACTTTTCTGGTCTTGCGAGGTGTGATGCTGACACTGAGACATTTCTGACTGCATCTGGACGAGATTGCAGTCAGATACGTCCCTGAGCCTGAGACTTCTATGACTGCATCTGGACGAGATTGCAGTCAGATACGTCCCGGAAACTCCCAGTTTGGCTATTCCCCAAAAGCGATTATTTTGTGCTTTGCTTGTTAAGCATGCACTCCCCCTTCCCCCACTCCCCCTTGCCCCTTCCCAAACTTTGAACCGAACCTCCTCATTTTTTTTTTGTCTTTTATTTGGGGTCTGTGTGGATATCCAGAGAGGAGAAGAAGTTTCAGCTTGTGGATTTTGTTTTTCTCTTTTTTCTAACAAAATAAACTTCAGCTCGTGGATAGACAGCCAGGCGTCGATTAGGGCAGTGAGTTTTTTTTTTTAATCAGGAAAAAGAAAAACAGATTCTTTTATGAAAACCTATTTTTCATGGACGGAGACACTCGTTAACTTTCAATGATAAAGATCTGCATCTCCGAACTTCACTGAACCCATCTGACCTCAAATACGGCCAGATGCAATAAAAAAAAGGTCCTTGTTAGACTCTGCCTGAATGAATCACTTGTTTTTAAATCATTGTTGTTATGGTTAGTTTACTGGCCTGCCACTCATTTAATTACTGACGTCTTGACTCTGGACGTATCTGACCGAAACTCACAGCTAAATTCAGTCAAAACAGATTTGTTGTGGCGGTGGCTTGAGTTGTCGTGTGGATCTGCAGCAGAATTAACTACTTACCGTGGTAAGTTTTTTTTTCTTTTTTCAGTTTTTGAACCATTTGGAAAGGACCAGGAAAGATTATCCAGTGCCTGCAGCGCCGAACCTAGACGAATCACAGCAGTTAAATGCATAACAATTGAACTCACACTTGACGCTGAACGTGGACGAATTACAGCAGTTAAATACATAATCGAATTCCCGCAGTCAATTGTGAAAAGTACCGACAACAAAATCGCTGCCTAGGGCGACTGAGTTTTGCACTTAACCACCGCTACTAGCGCAAGTAGGTTGTGCAGATCCGAAGGGGGAATCAAGCAAAGTGCCAGGGTTGAAACTCTCATGGACTGAACTTTTACTTGGGGGGATTCTTTGGTTCCAATCTTGGATAGGAAGGAAGAAGATCTTCGGCCAGAAATATAGTGTTGTGCTAACTGCAGGGATTGCGATCTTGGACCTGGAAAATGATAAAGATCACATTTTTCTTTCACCGATTCGCCGACCGTGCAAGGGTTCAAACTCTCGCAGGGATCACGATTTTGGACTCGGGAACTGATAAAGAAGGAAGAAGATCTTCGGCCAGAAATATAGTGTATTGCTAACTGCAGGGATTGCAATCTTGGACCTGGAAAATGATAAAGAATCAATATTAAAGATCACATTTTTCTTTCGTCGATTCGCCGACCGTGCAAGGGTTCAAACTCTCGCAGGGATCACGATTTTGGACTCGGGAACTGATAAAGATCACATTTTTCTTTCGCCTCTGAACCGACAGTGCACGGGTTCGAACTCTCGCAGGGATTGCAATCTTGGACCTAGAAACTGATAAAGATCACATTTTTCTTTCACCTGTTAACCGACCGTGCAAGGGTTCGAACTCTCGCAGGAACTTTGATCTTGGACCTGGAAACTGATCAAGATCACATTTTTCTTTCACCTATTACTTCAAATTCTTGCAGGAATCGCGATCTTGGACCTGGAAACTTATACAGATCACGTTTTTCTTTCAGTTGTTAACTGACCGTGCAAGGGTAAGGTTCGAACTCTTGCAGGGATCGCGATCTTGGACCTCGAAACTGATAAAGATCACTTTTTTTTTTTCACCTGTTAACCGCAAGGGTTTGAACTCTTGCAGGGATCGTGATCTTGGACCTGGAAACTGATAAAGAATCAATTAAAGATCACATTTTTCTTTCACCTGTTAACCGACCGGGCAAGGGTTCAAACTCTCGCAGGAACTTTGATCTTGGACCTGGAAACTGCTAAAGATCACATTTTTCTTTCACCTGTTAACCGACCGTGCAAGGGTTCGAACTCTCGCAGGAACTTTGATCTTGGACCTGGAAACTGATAAAGATCACATTTTTCTTTCACCTGTTACCGGTCGACTGCGCTACATTTGACCGACTGTTAACAGCCCTACAGTTAAGACTTAATTGTATGGCTAACAGCTATTGTGCAATGGTTCGAACTCTCGCATGGACTGCAATCTTGGACCTGGAAACTGATAAAGGTCACATTTTTCTTTCACCAGTTACCAGCTGACTTCACTACAGTTAAGACTTAACTGTACGGTTAACAGCTATTCCGCCATTAAGACTTAACTGTACGGTTATTCTTTCACATTCTATTACTGCCCTACAGTTGACCGACCGTTAACAGCGAACTGCTACCGTTAATACTTAACTGCTGCGGTTACGGCTTCACTGCCACCGTTTACTGCGGCTTCCTTCCGTCACTTATGTTTGTGCTTTGGTGTTCATCTCAATGGTCCTGAAGGGCTCTGCTCTATCGTTCGAACCACAAGCCTTTCGGGACTTAACAGTTGTCCTTTGAGTTAACCATGCGAGTTAATAGTAATTGGATGAAATAAGTGTATATAACGGTAATGAGCAAGAGGCCATTAAGTGTCACAGGAGTGGGCCCTGCTCAAGTGGCATTTGTGGGTAGTAGCAAGGGTGTACTGAAGCCATTAAGTGACAGAGGAGCGCCCCCTGCACAAGAGGCATTTGCGGGTAGTAGCAAGGGTGTACTGAAGTTGCTGCTCGTGCCACAGGGCGGACTTCTGGGATATTACTTGGAATGTAGATATCCGGTCCGTATCGGGATGGGCAAGATGCTGCCAAACTGGCAAGCTGGACGATCGCTGCTGCTGTCGCAGCGATGAAGATAATGATGAGGCTGTTGCCGCAGTGATGACGACGACGATAATGCTGTCATGTGTATGCACATCGAGTATGGTCGGATATATACAGAAGAAGTACGAGGGGAGACTTATTCCTGCTTAGGGGAGAGGAGGAGGGAGGAAATGAAAAGGAGAGAGGCATCGCTGCAAAAAACAGAGTGCATCTGATGGGAGATGGCTGTGTCCCACTTACGATGGAGTTGGCAGAGGTCAGCGCTGGGGGGTGACGAGGGAGGCAAAGAGACGAAGAGGGAGAAGTACGAGGAATCGAACACATGACCAACCAAATAAGATGGGATTTTCATTTCTAATCCAGACTGCAGAGCGCTGGTGAAGTCGTCCTCTTACATCTCTGTGAATTTCATTTTGTCCTTCACCAACTTCCTCTTTGCTGTTCCTCTGCAGACTCTTGTCTTGCCGCATGTCGTTCTTTAACTGTCTCTTCTCCTCTCTCTCATTGACATCCTTCCATCCTAGCATTGACCAACCTGCAGAATAGCAACAGAGGGAGCCAGTGATCGAGTGTGTTTGTGTGTGTTCAAGAGAGAGAGAGAGAGAGAGAGAGAGAGAGAGAGAGAGAGAGAGAGAGAGAGAGAGAGAGAGAGAGAGAGAGAGAGAGAGAGGAGAAGGTGGTGGCAATCGAACATGGTGCGAGGTGGGAGGAGCCTGAGGAAGCAGGAAAACGAGGAGGGAGAGGACTCAGTGCCAGGATTGGGTAGCAGGAAGGGCTGTCTAGCGGACACTGTTGCAGTGGGTGAGGCGTTCGGATTAAACAGTGGAAGATCAAGGAAGAGGAGGAAATACTCACGATTACGTCAACAAGAAATCGGTGCTGCAACGCTATTCCTGACAGTGAAGCGGGTAATTCTCATCTTCTTTGCCTTTTCCATTGTGTTTATTCCTCTCGGCGTCATTTTTCTTGCTTCTGCCAGCTCTGTTGTCGAAGTCGTTATTCAGTACGATGACAAGTGCTGGGACCAGTGGTCCATCAATCTCAGCGCCAGCCTTAACTCCTCTTCCCTTACTTCCCTCCCCCCAAGTTGGAACTTCTCCCGTTCCGCTGATCGTGAGAACTATATTCGCGACACGACCACTCCGAAGACCTGCAACCTCTCGGTTGTCCTCCCTCACACCATGAAAAGTCCCATTTTTGTCTATTATGAAGTGTCCAGGTTTTATCAGAACCATGCTCTCTATGTCCGGAGCGTCAGCACTGTGCAGCTACTAGGTAGGAATGTCACGGATGCGGATTTAATGGATACTTGTAGTCCTCAAGCCTTAGTCAACATTTCCGGACGGACAGAGGCGATCCGACCGTGCGGGTTGATTGCCTGGTCGAATTTCAACGACACGTATACTTTACATGTGAACGGGACAAACGGCACAGGTATAGTTGAGGTGAGTGACAGAGGCATTGCATGGAAAGCGGACAAGGCGGATCGGTTTGCGAGCGTAGAGGCCGTGAATCTGAACACGGTTGCGGAAAGGAGAGGCGGAGGAGAGGTGATGGGACTCATCAATCAGAACGAAAGGCTCATGAATTGGATGAGAATTGCTCCGGGGCGCCGATTTCGCAAACTATGGGGAAGAATCGATGGGCGAGATCTGAGCAAAGGCTCGAATTTGACAATTCAGATCGAAAATCAATTCAACACTTTTGCATTTGGAGGTGAGAAAAAGTTTATTTTGAGCACTGCAACCTGGCTTGGAGGAGCAAGCACAGTCGTTGGCATTGCCTATCTGACTGTTGGGTGCCTTTCACTCTTCTTCGCCTTATTCTTCTTCGTGGCAAATTGGAAATGGCCACGTCCTCTTGGGGATCCGTCCTACTTATCCTGGAATCGACGATCCCTCCTTTCCTCCCAAACTTCTTCCTATATCCTTGAGTCCACACCATCTCTCTGACAGATGGACTGACTTTACACAGGCCTTTTTAGCATGTGCCGGCAGATGTTTGTCTGTCTGGACCCTTCAGAAGAGCAGGGGCACTAATCTCTCTCTCTCTCTCTCTCTCTCTCTCTC